TGTTTATATATATGAATAAAAGATTAAGTGTTTGATATGTAAATATATAATAAATGTGTGGTGTGTATGTAAATGTCTTTTTTTTATTTCTAAGCCATCTGATTAAAATTAAGATGTAAAAAACTGATCGGTAGTAGAACACCAAGCAGTCGATCAAAAAATCAGCATGGTTCATCGATTAAATCATTGATTCTGTGTGAAGCGGTTTTGGACCTCAATTAAACCGACAACCAGGCAGTCTGGTTCGATTTTTAAAATCATGATTAGTTGATGATTAACCTATAAATTCAGCTTATTAGATGTTGGACCTGCCTCAGATGGAAACTAACATACATGTAATGTTATTTTGACGTTTAATCTATATTGCTGATTTTACGAACTTTTTTTTTTTGAAGCTCCATGCGCTTGTTGTGTATGACACTGTTGAGGCAGCAGAGAGTGCCGTGCGTATCACATTTTCATTTCATGTCTTATTTAAGCTCATTTCATATTGTGCTCTCCCTAATGATCTCTTCATTCTGGCTGAAGGTTTCGTCACTGAATGATGAAATGAATTGGAGGAATGGCATGCGAGTTCAGATTTTACTTAAAAGAATGGTACATATAATCTTATCCTCCATTTTTATCCTGCATAACATCTGGTCACACTTCACTTTCCGCAATTTTTCAGGAAAAGTATGGGCTTGCTCAAAAAACACGGAAAAATGTCTTTTTGGTAAAAAATAATGGAGCTGAAGCATTGGAAATACCTGCGCTGAACCAAAACGGATTAGACAAGGAGGTTTGTTAAATTATTCTATTCTATTTTCGCTTGGGGGCGTTTATATACATACCACACAATTTTTATGCATTTATATATCTAAACCTAAACTTTCATTTTACATTTTAAAAGTGAAATAGATATTTTCATGTATAATTTTAATTCACCAATGTTTTATAAATATAAATAGGAAAATTAGATGTTAGATATACAAGAATTGTTTTGCATGCATGTAAATTTTCTTTTACTTGTAACATTCTTCTTTTGTTTTCTTTATGAAATTGTGTCTAAAACTTATGTGTTGTCTCATGTTAGGAAGACGATAATTGTAATGAAAGTATGGGTGGGCGGAGGAATAGGTGCAGAGGTCGAGGCGGAGGCAACCACCAGCAACCAACCAACGGTCAAGGTGATCACTTTTTTCATTATCTTTGATCTTTTAATTAATTATTTATTCATATATTAAAATTAGGCGTTTGTTGATATGTGCTGATTGATAGTATCCCATTCAGTCACTAAATATTTTTAGTGAGTTTGCTCTTGATTTAGGTCATAGGAATGTCCCAGCTGGTTTTGACGCTGAAGGCATGATTAGTAAGCCATTTACTGGACCAAAGATGCCGGATGGAACGAGGGGATTCACAATGGGGCGCGGAAGACCAATCTCAACTTGATCGCAACCATCATGGTATGATCGTGTTTTTATCTCCCTTTCACTTCTTCAGAGGAGTCCACATTCTCTGTTCTTCTTGTTTGCACTTCGTATCTTATCTGGAAGCATGTTTATTTATTTTCTATAAATTTTACTATGTTAGTTAGGCGTGATGGATGGTTTCGAAATGTGGTTTCAATTATATGGATGGTGTGTTATGTAATTAAGGTGTTGGGAGAACTTGAATTGTTGCTTAGAAGCATTTTGGGATCCCTTTGGTTTTTGTTTTTTATTTTATTTTGCATTTTGTTTTGCTCAAATAAAATATGTTTGGTATTTTGCTATGTTGCACAGACACCTTTAATTAAGGAGTCGTGCAGTGTCAGATACGTAGCGGACACGGACACAGTTGAGACACGTATTAGGCACAACACAAAAGTGTCCATATTAAATAATATTAAAAGAAGTGGAAGCGTCAGACACAAGTGTCCTAAATTCTGGCGCGCGTCTTAAATCAATGAATAAAAAAAAATTGAAATTTTTTTTTTTAGATTAAAACTAAAAAAATATAAAATTTAGGAATGATTTGCATGCATGCCACTCAATTCTTATTTATTTACGTATCTGACATCAAAATTTTAATTTTTTCATATATGCCACCGGACATATGTATAAAAATTAACACAAGTATTTTATTTGATTTGATTTATATATTTAAATGTGATATGGAATATTTGGGTGGCATAAATATAAAAATCAAAATTTAGGTGTAAGAAATGTAAATAAATAAGAATTCAGTGGTGTGTATGTAAAAACTGCAAAATCTGGAATAAAGAGGATGCGCCGTTATTATTTTTTAATTTATTACTTCTTAGTTATTTTTTATTAGTTTTTATGTTTTATTATTTTAGCTTTTGAGATTTTTGACTCGTGTCTAGTCGGTCCAGGATCCAGCATCTTCATCGGTTCTTCCTTCGATAAAGAGGAACAAAATAAATCCACGAGCAGAAAATTTAGTTTATGTGCATACTAATATATATTTGTTATCAAAAAATGTTTCAAATTATATGGAAGGTGATAATAAGATGTGGGAAGTTGTAGGAGATGGATTTGAGACCCTCGATGATACAAGAATTTTGGAGATTGCAAACCTTTCTCTTGATGAGTTAGAGTTGGAATCTATAATATTTAATGATGTTGATAGTGAATCTGAACTATGAATTAGTAGTACATGTCAAAGAAGCCAATTATCATTTTATTTCTTTTAATGAATTAACGTGGTTAAATTTTGATGTATTACAAGATAATATATGCTCTTATTTTTGCATTTTGCATGTTATAAATTAAAGACATATCTATGGGCATGTTATTAACCCTTCATTTTTTTATTTAATATACACATAATTTTAGTAATTTTTATTATAATGGCGTGTCCGACGTGTGTCCGTGTCATATTTTGAATAACAGTGGTGCTCATAGTCCGTGTCGTATCCTATACGTGTCCCCAAGATGTGCAACATAGGTACTTTGTAGAAGCGGCAGTTGAGAGTTGAATCAATCTATAACTTGTTTGAAAGGAAAAAGGGAAAAATAATAAAATAAAATACTCCAATTTTATTGTTGATGTTTTTTAAAATTAAGAAAACAAAAATGGGAACTGACATTTCTAATCATTTTGATAAATAAAAAAATAAAAATAAATTGAAATGTGAGCCAAATTAATTCATGATGGATCAAGCTCAGTTTTTATCTAAGCGAGCAAATGTGATCTTCAGCTATAGGTTTTTGTAATAATATGTGTAGTGATGATTGATGCTGACTAGTTATACAATTGTATATTTTCTGTCACCTACACGTGTTTTGTATAATATAATGTCAAATCTTTATATATTTGGTTTGAGAGCCTCGAATTATATTTTTTTCATAAATTTATTACCTTTGTGTTGATGCATTAAGTGAAATATGGAGTCTATTTTCATGATCTTTTAATTTTTATCATAGCCTTAGTATTTGTGCAGTCTTGATGTCTATTGCAGCAAATTTTGTTTTTGCAGCGGATAAAGCTAAGAAATTTTATTTTCAACTAATACCAACAACCATAAAGTACTAAAAATTGATAGCTGCTTAAAGTTCTCTTTATATTTGTTTTGAATTTTGCATAATTTGTATAAGAAAAAGTCTATATGTTCGCATGAATCTTTATTCCTGCCGCCTTGTAAACCTGACTTTGGATTATTAATTAGTTTCTAAAAATTCTTAAATTTAGGGATTCTTTCGGTTAGCGTAGAATCTAACACAAGGATCAACTGTAAATATAATGCCATTAGCTTTTAATTCTCACATATAATGACTAACCTAAAGTCCCCTTATTTAGTGTCGACTCCATTGTTTCCTTTTTTCATCTTTGTTAAGGCTTGTAGAATGGCCGATAAGGTACTTTTTTCTTGTTAAATCTTGTGATTAGATCATTGATATGCATTGTTTGTGAAATGAGTACTTTTTTCTTTCTTTATGCATTTTATAAAGGAAGATAATTTCTTTCATCATGTTTATTTCTATTTTTTTACTCATTATAATTGCAATTTGGAGTAATATGTCATCTCCTTCTTTCTTAAAGTGACTAGCTGTGGTAAATCCTTAAATGAACAAAAAGTCATTTAAGGTTTCATACTAGGCTCTTGGTGTTGTTTGAGTTCATAAAGAACTTTTTTTATTTTATTTATAGTCTAAATGAGCATAATCAATGAATCTTTGTGGTTGCCTACGAACACTTATATTTTATCACACCATTTAAAAATACTCTTAACAGACATTTGGTATCTTTATAACATGTGAATGAAAAATAATCTAATAGTTTGTAACCTAGTTGTTGGTGCATGACTTCCCAAAGTTTACATTTACATCTGCTTCTTTCTTAACAAGTAATGTAGTGACTATTTGTGGTGAATCCTAAAATGAACAAAAAGGCATTTAACATTTCTTATTAGGCTCTTTGTGTTTGTTTGAGTTCATAAAATACAATTTTTAATTTATTCATAGTCTAATTGAGCGTAATCAATGAATCTTCATGGTCGCTTACAAACACTTTGTTTTATCACACCATTTAAAATACACTCTTAACATACATTGGTATCATTATAACATGTGAATGAAAAAAATAATCTAATAGTTTGTAACATGGTTGCTCGTGCATATGACTCCCTAAAGTTCATCTCTTCATCTCCTCCTTTTTAATAAGTAATGTAATGACTAGCTGTGGTAAATCCTAAAGTGAACAAAAAGGCATTTAATGTTTCATGCCAGGCTGTTGGTGTTCGTTTGACTTCATAAAGTACATTTTTCAATTTATTCATAGTCTAAATGAGCATAATCAATGAATCTTTGTGGTTGCCTACACACACTTACGTTTTATCACACCATTTAAAATACAATCTTAACTTACATTTGGTATCGCTGTAACATGTGGATGATAAAAATAATCTAATAATTTGTGACCTAGTTGTTGGTGCACATGACTCCCCATATTTTATCTCTTCATCTTCTCCTTTCTTAATAAGTAATGTAGTGACTAGTTGTGGTAAATCCTAACATGAACAAAAAGACATTTAACGTTTCATACTAGGCTCTTGGTATTTGTTTGAGTTCATAAATTATATTTTTCATTTTACTCATAGTCAAATTGAGTGTAATCAATGAATCTTCATGGCTGCCTACAAACACTTTATGTTTTATCACACCATTTAAAAATACACTTCTAACTTACATTTATATCGTTAGAACATCTAATTGATAAAAATAATCTAATAATTTGTAACTCTCCAAAGTTTATCTCTTCAAGTTGTTCAAAGCCTTGTGAGACTAATCCATCCTTATTTTTTAAACTATAATACCTGAGTTTTTTGCGTCATTCTTATTTATTCATTTAATTCCAGTTACATCTTGGCTTTGGCCTTCTTCCTCTTTTCTAACTATTTGATTTGGGGATATATATATATATTACTTTTAATAAATAAATTTAACTCTTCTTGCAATCGCAATGCTCTAGTAGTAATGCTTTTTCAGTACTAATTAGCTCTATTTCAGATAGTATTGTAATGAGATCAATTTTTTTTCTAAATGTGTTTCTAATCCTAATTATCTGACATGGATCTTAAATACTAAGTTTCTTTATATGACTATAGATATAGCTCCACACTTCAGCCAACTCAAGAGTAAATGAATCAGTCTATTACCTTATGGCTCTTTTAAATTTACTCTTGCTTTTATTAGTTGTTTCATCTTCTTTCTTATTTTCTTGTTAACCTTTATTTTTATTTTTCAAATATAGCATATATTTACTTTTTTACAATTAAGGCTCTTTTTTACAATACTTTATAATTCCTTATCTAATCTTTTGTCAAAGTTTCTCAACCTTTTCTTTCAAATCATAAGCATGAAACAGCAAGATACCCTATGTATCTTTTTTTTTTTCCAAATCTCAAAAGGGTCTTCTTGATAAATTCTCTCTCATTCATAATATTTGTTACATAACATGCCATTCCAATCACTTTAGTTAACTATTTTGATAATTTGAACTCACTTAACATTGCTCGTGTCATATCTCGAAGGCCTCATGCATTCAACTACTCCATTTGTTGAGTTTTGTTGGGCCTTAAAAAGCTAAGTTGAATAACTATATTTTATATAATGACGCAAATCTGTTGTTTAGAAATTTTACCCCATAAATGTTCATAAGACACCTAATCAAGACTCTTTACCTTTCCATCGATTTTCAAAATTTATAGACTATATTCTATTGAAGCTTTACATTTAATAGCTATGAACATGACCCATGTGAACATAGAGTACTCATCCATAATTGCATATCCAAACTTATTGCCTCCTAAGCTTTTAAGGGCAACTAGTCCAAAGCGATCCATTTGAAGTTATTTAATCGTTTCGAGGTTAATAACCTTTTTTTTTTTTTGAAAAAATGAAATCTTGGTTTGTTTTCTTAATTCACATGCATCAGACAGTTGGTAATTAGAATGGTCAACTTAAATTTTTTTTTTAGCCAATTTAATTAAAATGTGTATTCTTGGTACGACTGATAATCTTCATATCTATCTTTCAAATCTATAAACTCTTAAAAATAGATAGAGAATCACGAAAATAAATATTTTTGAATGTTTTTCCTAATTAGAAAAATTCATAATTTAATTTAATTAAATATTATGATGATGAAAATTGAACGACATGCCTTTTATTGCAAAAGTTAGCTGATGTTAATGAAATGCCCTTTAATCCAACA